TGCACTCTGACGTGATGCCGCGGCCATTTTTGAAACAGCTCCTTCACGGTGTGAAAGCAAGAATGGCCATTGCATATGATATGCAGTGAGATTTTTTAAATTAAAGTGGGCATGTTCTTTGATTTTGTATTTATTCACATATTTTTAATTTCTCTTGCTTGTATTATCGCATCATAATCACGTTGTTAGCATTATTTAAAAAAAACTCACTGATTTTATCCGCGGCCATTGTTTTAAGCCTTCTAAAAACGCAGTGCACTGGGTTTGCTCCATTCCAGAGCTCTTCTGTTCTGCGGTAGGATTTCCCGTAGGCTTCGGCCAAGGATAATTTTACTAAAGCTATTCGGTGTGAAATCAAAGTGAAAATGTCTCGACCAGTGCATCTCAATTGTCATGTTCTGATGGTGTTGATTTGGAAGTCTCCCACTCTGAATTCAAGTGTGTATATATTCAGTTTATATCTGTACTTCTGATGGCAACCACTCAGATTCGGATCCCTTTTCAACGTAAGAGAAATGAAGCAGAATATAACGTGTACCTTTCATAAAATAAAGACAAGTCAAACTGTGAAAGATGGTTCGCGTTTTTATTTGAAAGTCCTTGTGATGAAGACAGGGAAAGTTACCCGTCATTCTTTTCCTGTGCCCAGATATTCCCACTGGACGACAACCGGGTTTCTGTGCTATCAAAGAGACGTTATCGTTGCGTAATTAAATAATGGAGTAAAAATTTTAAAATTGTGAGATTCTGCTATTCCCTGTCATAGTATTTGTGCAGTTATTCTTTGTAAACTGAGTTTTTGCAGGAATGTTGGACCAATGGAAAATATTGACGCCAAGAACGGAACCCAAGCTAGCTACTTTTTAGTCAGAAGAACCGTTCAAATCTGTCAGGCGCTTTTTTTTGTTAAATACATCAGTTGATTAATTGAACCGGCGATCCATTTGTGAGAGTTAATTTGCTTTTAACCGTATCGATACAGATCAGTATGTTTACCACAAATCGATACTGTCTTATATTGAATCTGCACGACAACCTTGCGTACAAAATTGGGAATAATACGTTTAACTGAGATTGATGAGGAATTATATATTCTCCAATGGTGTGACAACTTGCCCCCTGACGGATTTTTTATTTTTTTTTATTTTTTTTACTGAGAATACTTCATAGGTGAGTGGGAAAGACACTAATCGCTCTATTTATATATGAAATCAATAGGCTATATTTTTTCTCCCCCGTTATCACGTTTCCCTTTTTTTTTCTTTTTTATCCCCCTTGACACCAAAAGCTAAATACGCCACAGGGGACTGATGTACAACGTTCTGGAGTGGAGACTCGGTGACGGTGGTGACGATTTCATAATATTCTGTCTTCAGCGAATAAGGCGGTTCGGAAGTGTAATAAATAAGGTCATTCGGGATAAAAAATATCTAACCTCACACCTCTTACACAAGGTGTACTCAACGCACCCCCCCTACCCATCTAGCTCCTAGTCCACTATGGCTAACTGTACAAAGAGCGATGTCAGTGGCCATCATCCTCTGGATTTCGAGCAGTTCTCAAGGCATATAGTCAATCAGTGCTTTGAACTGGAATTTGAAATTTAGAAATTCTGAAAGGATACAGTTCGGGAACTGCACCACGCAACTTGTTATAGCGTATACGGACTTGTTGAGTAGGCTACACAATTGGACCTTTGACATCTGCACCAGCTGCATTCTAATTCAAGTTAAAACCTGAATAGAAACTTTTCCCTCGACAAAAGGTATAGAAATCTGGGGTAGCTAGATTTAAGGGCCATTTTTAAAGGTGATTACACCCTTGCTGCACATTGACTAACCGATATTCTAAGCGCCGGCGGACAAACACTTCGCAAAGGGCAGGTTTAGGGGGCCAATGGGGGCCATGACCAGCCCAAACGAGCCACACAAAGTTCTATTTAAAAGTAATGCAAACTTACGATATACATTATTTTGGTCTGTTTCATTTCCCTTCCTTTCAAAAGCATGTCAAAAACTCCTAAATGTAACCTCACACCCCGAAAAGAGGCCATAAAATGAGAAAAGTTTCCACACCATTTCGCTGACCCCGGCGAATTCAGTGTTTAATCAGCCCTTGACTGTTTCACGCAGTCAACGTGTCCATGTTCCGCGTCAACATTAATACACGCCAATATTATTTCTGTATAATGATGTACACTTGTATGTTTGTTCGCTGTCTATGGAACTCCTAGCAACACCACAAAGGCGATTTGTTGACGCATGTACCACTTGAATCTGAGTGGATGGGCGCTCCCCATGCATGACGACACAGTCCGCACAACACAACAATGTTGCCAATGTTCTCCCTTCACAACAGTGCCATAACAATATACATGTAGATTTTCTCACAACAGAAAACTCCTTGAAATCCAATCAATGTATCAGTAAAACCAACCAACCAACCAACCGTGTAGAAGACACCTCAAAGAAGTTGCTTTTGTTGGTTAAATCGTTGACGGCGACGCGACAGAATTTTACCATTGGAGGCAGGTATTTTTTAAAAAATCCACCCACAACAATATTGCAGCCGCATCGGTTTTAATACAAAGGGCGAATGCAATTTAAAGAAATAATTCTGTCCTTGGAAAAGCTATTTTAGTGGTGCCATTGTGTTTGGAATTATGCTAATAAAGATTTGCATATTCTTCTGGAAAAAGCGCGCTGTATGATGAAACTTCAAAAACGCAGCGTTAAATTTTACCATTGTACTTCGATACTTCGCTCTAAAATTTTTTTTAGAGATTCATTTCTTCCCTTCGTGACAATAAACCAGTGAGCAACGTTTTCGTAAAAAGCATTTCGATGAGCCAATTTGGGTTACAATACCTGGCTAGAAAAAAACCTGGTGGTATGCAGTGTCTTTCGGAAATGACATCACATCAGGAAAAGCGAAGAAAATGCAGGTTTTCCCGGTAGATTTTTCAATTCTTCCATTTAAAAGTGCCTAAACGGAAGTTTAATTTCGTCACCTCAAAGAAGGGTCAGTCGCCTATGTTGATTCCAATTTCGAAATAACACTTAAACTTTTTGGATTTTTGCCCTGCCCGACGTGTAATATTTTTTAACACTGTATGCACAGTGTATGCCCCAGAAGGCTTGTGAAAAAACCACAAGCGTACTTGGGAAGGACTGGAACCAACAACCTCCAGCTTACTTGTGCAGACGTCTTAACCACTCGACCACCGAGCTTACCGGTATCGACTGGCTGGTTCGAATCACATGTGTAGCAGCGGGTACTGCAAACAACTATTTCAGGGATAGATCAATTTCCTTCCCCCCGGCGCAAATCCATCCCTGAAATACTTAAACTTTCGTTTGAGCAATTTTAAATGAAAGAAGTGAAAAGTTAACCAGGAAAACCTATATTTCCCACGCTTTTCCTGATGTGACGTCATTTCAGGAAGGCACTGCATACCACAGGTTTTTTTTTTTTAGTCAGATATTGTTTCAGCAATTTTCAATGAAAGAAGTGTTAAATTAACCAGGAAAACCTGCTCTAAACGTTTAAAGAGATCCTCTGAACAGGACTAACTCCAACGGGCTGTCAAATGATTAACTGGCAATCTTGGCACATGTTTGCATATGGTTTTACCACTGCATGTGCTTCAGTTGAGAAGGCTGCTTGCTGAAGTAGATCACACTTCCACAGCTACACGTTCACACGTGCTTGCCAGGCAGCCTGTCTGTCTGTCTGTCGCCGACATGTTGCAACTCCAGTTAACCCTGGGTGAGTTTAACTGCAGTCTGGCATGCTGAATGTGCGTTTTTCAGATTGCACAAATTACAGAAATGCCTGCCAAATACTGAAAACGAATGACCAAACACACGCCTGGAAAAAGCACCTGCGAATTTAAATACTTTTGGGTTGAATTGTTGACTTGGGTGACAATTTTCCTACATAGAATGACGCCCGAAACAGGACGACGCTGGGCACACTGCCACAGGAATCCAAATGACTCAAAACGAAATTGACTGCAATGAATTCGGAATGAAACACTGTAAAACTTGAGTGGACAAATAGCACGAATTCGAACGCAAGAAATTAAATTTGCTACTGTTTTGCCGAAATTGACCGGGCAAGCCTATAAAAATTAAACATTTAACTGGGAAAGGCTGGTAAATCACTTGACGTGTAACCACACACAATTGTCTTCATTTGTTCCACGGAGGACGTACATGCACACTCTCTTCAGACGTTTTCCATTTCCGCGGTTAATGTATTAATATGTCGTGCTTGATTGCGTCACAAATAAATTGCAATTTCGAAGAATTTGTAGGATAAAAAGCCTCCCCGGCAGCTGTTTCGAGTAAGAAAATCGGACGTTAAATGCCAACCAGCCTGGACTCCCCTGATTGAAGATTCACCATGAGGGAGTCGCCAGCCAGTTGCGTTGTTGCTCCCACGGACGCATAGGCACACGACTAGCATTATTGCCGATACGAGGAACTACGATTAATGAGTTACTCTTTGACCAGGCATGAGCTGACTGGGAGAGGTTATCGGTACTCGGTAGAGACGGGACTGAAAAGGTTAACACAATGAATGTTTTCATTAGTTACCATTTTACCTCCGTTCCTTTTTCTGGCGTCACTCATGGGCCTCAAACTTCCATCACGTGACATATGACAGCTCTAAACCACATCAACACGAGCGGGCTGTTATTTTGTTTGTGTCTAGGTTTTGGCAGTTTGCCATGGTTGTTATGCACTTTTTCATATTGAAACAAACAATTGTTGGCCATGGCCGCGCTACGGAATAAAGTAAAACTAAAGCCTGGATTTGGTTAATGTAGATCGGGCTGAGCTGGGTTCAGTTAAGTTGGATGTGCTCGTGTACGTGTTTTTTCTGCAAAATTAACGTTCAGATTCGAAGTGAATTTACCTTCTTGCCGGAGAGGGAAAAATTTAGTTGTGGGTATTCCCAACTGTCCAAAAAGTCACTGGGCTTACACACATAAAAACACTTTCAGAGCAAACAGGTACTTTTATTCACTAGTACACACCTTGTCATTCACAAAGGTTCATATAGTTACAACTAAGAAAAAGAAGAAAACTAACACCAAATCAACTTACTGACAAAAGGGCCCGTGAAAATCAACTGCTTTCTGGCAATTTGCTAAATGAAGTAGAATGTTTTACAACAAAGCTACCGGTAGCTCTTTTGCTGGAGTAAAAAAGCTTCGCTCTTGAAGACAAGTTTTAGGGTTGGGTTATATACCTTGGTCTTTTAACAAATTGATGTGCTAAGGGATTTTACGAAGTCTTAAAAGAGCACAAACGCAATAAATGATATTGTAAGCAGTTAATGTGGATTAATTTATGGGCATCTGTGACGTTAAAATATCCTAGATGTATCAGAAACAGCACTGAGCTTGTGTCCCTTGCTGAAATTTTACAAGACTTCTATCTCAGGGGTCATAACATGTCACGGGTCAAGATGTGATTTTTCCCTTAGATTCACACAAAATCGGGGTCATTCTCACTGCATTGAGATTTCCAACGGCCACCTGGCTGATCGCCAGAACGAAACTGTCGCCACCATTTTAAGAGCTTGCCTGCCGACAATGGGATAATAATGAATGACATACCAGACAAGTATTCAGACGGGATAGAGAGAACTACACTGACAATAAGTCGATAAAAACGTTTCCAAACGGAGTCAGTAGTGGGATAAAAAGACACACAAGAGCATGTTACGGACGAGTGGCTAAGCAGTGACTGATTTGTTACTGCCATTCTGCGCCTACGGTGCCCTAGGTAGCCTACATCAGACGCACTGAACAATTGTACCATTTCCTCAATCCTGCACAGCCTCTGGCTTTTTTTTACACAGGTTGTAAAAGTGGACCTCTGACCTAGTTGCTAGCTCCAGTGAACGATTTACACCACTAAAGCTCTAAACACACCCGCTGTTTGAACCCCAAAGCTTTTCAGATCGTCAGTCTGACCATAACACTGATGCTGAAGTTCAATAACTGTTTTCACAGACTGCAAACCCAAGCCCCAAATTTCCTGGTGTTTGAAAATAACAGGGACTTTTCTACAGTAGGCCCACAGAATATGTAGGCCTACTGTACAAAAACCAACCATATCCGGATGCCGTTCAAGGACCAGTGAAAACCTGGGGTCAATTTTTTTCGCATCATAGCACATAAGATAGCCGTGTAGAAAATCAATGGACCACGGTGGTAAATGTTTAAATTCACTCCTCAAAAACTGGCATGTCAGAAGATGGCATGTAAAATATACAATTTGAAAAAGGTTTTCTTTGTTGTGAATGACTTCTACATGGTCTTGTACATAACGAACATCACCTCCCATGAAGTCACGAAGTTATTACAGTTCAAATATACAAATGTATGAATTGAGAATGCATAAAAAAGAACTAGATATGCTCCTTTTGTCGTTTTGTTTTGGCTGTCATTCTAAAATTACAAGGATACTTCATTCTCGATTTTTTAATAACGCAAAATCCCTCAATATGTAAATCAAAACTGCATAATAATCCCCCAATTGGGGTAGTGTTGTTCAGAATCAAACTGGGAACCACGTTCTGTTGCCCTTTGGTCACAGATGTGGATTTGGGATTTTCCAAATGATTGGCCCAGTAGTTAAGATCATCATGTGCACAGACGCCAGGGATCTTAGGCTATTATGGCCCGTGATTAGATTACATTTTATCAGATGGTGTTTCAGGAACGGCGATTGAGAATTGAGCAAAAGGGAAGTAAATGGGCAGCCTGGGATTGGTTTTTTTTTTCCCTGAAGGAAGCTGTTGCACTTGCTAAGATACCTATGATCCAAGGCGCAAAGCTGATCAACTTTGTCGTGTCATCAAAGCATCTTTTCAAACCATAATTGACACAGATGTAATGTAGCAATATGCCTTGAAAACTGAACTGAAATCTCCATAAAATGTACATTCAAAATAAACATGAAAATATTTAAAACTTAAATTCCTTGTATTTCTTGGCTGCCTTTCCACTGTCCTGGCTCTGTTTCTTTCTCTTATTCTGCAAAAAAAAAAGGGAGACAAAAAATACTAATTACCGAGAAACTGGATTACTGCACTGCAGAGCAATTACTCACAGGCCTCTTGGTACATTTCACTCATCGCAATCACTTCTTTTTTTTTTCTTACAACCCACAGACCACCGGAAATTTGGGAAGTTTGGGTAAATCTGTGATGAATTCATGCAGCTGATGCAAAGCTCCAGCTTGGAGAAAAAACACCAAGGCATTGCTGAGTGGGACTTAGTGTACATCCAGCCTGAGATCAGTATATGCTGACTGGAGTGCGCAGGTCAGCAGTGTCGTCAAAATGATCAGTCTGAGCCACACTGATTTTAGTCCCCCATAAAAAGGACAAACATCCCTAAAAATAGACATCGTGTAGGGGCCTCGTCCTAGCATGGCTTTTTTTTTTTTGCAACAACGCTCTTCTGTAATGTTCTTACTCAAGTTGTATGCTTCTGATTAATACAGACATGTTCAGACAAATTCTTGCAACTTGGCTATTCAAATTATCGTTTACTGTGTACCACCTTCCCTCACAAAAAAAAGGAAAAAGTGAGGAAGGGTGAAATAGCATTGATGCATACAGCTCACTTCAGCTCTGCACTTTGAAAACAACCTGTAAAAGCCAACTCCAGTACTTCATGGTGTACTGACATGCAAATTCTCATTTGCATACGCTAATCAGAAAGCTGCAGGGCTAGATGGCCTGGACCCTCCAACAAAGAGAATACATATCACTGACGGACTGTGAACCGGCCTAACAGATGCTATGCAGCACTTCCATAACTTCTTGCACAGCTCCAAGCCTGCTCGATCGCTCTGACATTTGCAAACGAGCTGCCATCCCCTACTCCTTGAAAACGCTGAGCACGCACAACAAAACAAGTTATACAAATGGCCTCCCAACATCACGAGGCGATGAACATCACTCTCTGTCGCAATGGTTAGGATGTTTCAGTTTCCAATCTGGCCCAAGTCTTGTAAATCACTATGCAGTGAGTACGCAGGCACAAATATATTTGTGGACTTTAGACCTACTGAGCAAAAGAAAAAAGATGACCTCCCCTGCTGTCAAGTGTACTAGATTTAAGATGTTTGTACTTAAAAGCGGATGTACTGAAAACAGATTCTGATCTGAATTGGTTTGTATTGTGGTACTAGTTACGGTGGTCTAGTGGCAGAAGTAAAATCATTATACATGCAGAAATGAAAACATTATTCTATGACTTTGAAAAAGTCTGATTCTTTTTTTCCAAGATTTCTTGCAGCAGCTCAGTTGTTTCAAGCTGCTTTCCTTGGAAAGCTGCTCCCACGTTAATTGGCAGTTTGATCCATATCTGCACATTTGTACAGATCACAAATGGCACCGATGTGGAGGTGGTGATTTGCAGAGAGTAAAAAACATGGATTTTATTTCCCAAAGATTTCACAGCAACATGTGATTCTGGTAGCCAGACATCATATCCTTAGGCTATCCTGCTTATACAGCTTATGTCAATAATTACCTTCAACGAGCCCTTGTTTATTCTGGCAACTGGTTCACTGTTTTACTGTGTCATTCTTTTATTTCCTTGTTCAAGTTTTTCCACTGCTTTCTCTCATGTATGCGCTTGCCTTTTGTTTTAACTTGTGCTTGAATAGAAATAAATGTTGCATTGCATTGCACTCAACAGGTTGGATCGCCGACAAATGGTACAGAAATGAAATATGTTTATAAACAACAGTAACCTCAGTTTGTCATGAATAAAACTGCACTGTTGCTTGTATATTTCCTAATGTTTGATCACAGATAGGGGGACTCACTTTAGGGGGAGTCAGGTTGGTGCAGTGGCTCTTTCCTCGCCTTCCACCTCTGCGACCCCGGTTCGAATCCCACCTAGGTCAGCATGTGGATTGGGTTTTCAGTATCTGCTTGACTCCATGGGTTTTCCCCGGAATATTCATTCGGGGTTTTCCTCCCACCTCTAAAACTGAACATTTCTTCATCGTCTTCTCAATTATGACTTCATCCTGTAATTGGCACTGAATGTGCTGTTGGCTGTACAGATATAAATAAATCATATTCCTTCACAGGCAATGAATAAGTTGCCAAGGTGTTGATAAAAAGATACCATCTCTCCGGTGTTCTTCAACAGTTCAAACATGACTTTATCTCTCTGTTCCTTCGAGTCAGACATAAGCTTCCGAGATTTTCTCTTTCACGTGATTCCATTTTTTTTCTCCATTATGGGTTTTTAATGATTATGCACACACATCTTCATAGTTTACTAAAACCGCACTGTGCTGTGATAGAATGGAGAATAACCTCGAACTTATCACCCCCTTAACAATTCAATCAGCACTACTTCACAGAAAATTCCTGAATCACACAATACAAACTGTTGCTATCCCTAGTGAGGCATCGTGACTATTTATTCCATCTGGTTAGAACCTGTGGACAGAGGCAAGTGCACTGAGCCAACACAAAAGAATACTTTCCACTGCATTACCTGCCTGTCAGCTTTTTACCCTAAAGGATGAGACCAGGGTTAGCTTGGGGGGGGGACACTATACCACTTTTTTAGCTGCTACATTTCATGTCAAGCGAGGTACAAAATAATCTATGAAATGATGTTCAAATAAATTGCCATCTCATCCTTTGCCCAAAAATAAACATCAAACAAATCCAGTTAAGAAAATTCTGCCAGATTGATTTTGATGCGTCTACATTTCCTGCATGAATTGCAAAGACGTTTCTAAAAGCCTTATATTTAAGTCACACAGGTACACATACGATACTAATTTTACATGAAAGATCAAAGTCTGAACATAACAGAAACTGTCCTGATTTAATGTTCCCCTTTCAACCTATATCTACTAAATAGCGGCAAAAATGGAAGAAAATCACAATCAGATCTGGGTAATTCCAGAAATTAGGGGTCCATTTTTTTTCTGTGTCCCTGTTACATCTGACATATGATTTTGGAAGTTCATAACACATTTTCTAATTTCCAAGAGTGATGAATTAATGCAAATTACCTGCCAAACAAGAAGTAATAGTTTGAAATTAATTCCCTGATATTTCCTTGTCAAATAACAAAGGTCAGATGTAACAGGAACACAAAAATGTCACACTTTTGGACCCCTAACTTCTGGAATTACCATGTACATAACCTGAATGACCTTTGTATCTTGCCACAGACTATTTACTAAAGTGGTCATAAAAATCGCACACAAAAAATGCACACTGGAGGAAAAAAAAGGCATCTTGTCATATGTCCTGGTACCCACCAGTCTAACCTTTGGACACGACAATAAAAAAAAAAAAAACAAGGGCCAGGGATGACTCATCCCATATTGACACCACACCGTCAACAGTTTTTCGGTAGGCTGAAATGTTTAAAGTTGACAGCTGGCACTGCTGACTTCGTCAGGGCGGCCTGCTCACGTGAAACACTTTTCGGAAGGTTGGGAGAAATAAACGAACAGGGAAACATATCGAGCGTACAAACACCTAAAAAAATGATTGATCAACTCCTGCATTTCAAATTCATGTACATCGTCAACCACCTCTGACCAGCATGTGGAATTCCTATTACATGTACCTGTGAAATCAATCAAAAACCTCTTGATCTGATGAAGGAAAACTTATATAAAACCATCCACAGACGTTTTGCAATTCATAAATTATGTTTATGAGGACAGATCCAACATTTCAAGGGGGAGGGGCAATTTTGTTGGGGGAAAGGCAGGGACAAAAACATGAAACTTCTTAATGTACTCCCTGTGACCTTTGTGGTCTTCAGGCATGCAACTGGGACTTCGACCAAAAGAAAAAAAGGACATTCCAATCCCTACAAGACTTTGTACAGTGTTTTTCAATTTTCAATGGCATGAGTGGGAAGTGAAAAACGAGGAAATCAGCTGATCTGAGGAAAAGTTGCATGCCTGGGCCTTTCTGAGGGGTGAAGCTACACTTTGAGGCTTTTTCCAGAGAAATGAAATAGTCCCCAAGAATTCCCCTTCCTAATTCTAATTCAAAAACCAAACATTGTGTAGCGAGAGTTGCAACATATGTGTACGTGTCACCATTGTTAGAAACAAACGGGCAGGTGTACAGTATGCGCCAGTGCACATGGACAGTTGGTATACCAAAAGCTGCACGGTCTATACTGTACTCAAATAAACAGCCATGTTGTTTCTGAAATCTGTAGCAGGAGCTTCTCTCTCTATGTCCAACTCTGCCTGCTGGCACCAGCTCCCATCTCCTTCCCACAGAACCGCATTACATGTCCGTTCATTGAAAACAATATTTTGGCTTTTTCGCATTTTGTGAAAAAGGCATTCTATCTGTCAAGAGATTTCTAAAAAAATTTTTTGGCTTTTCCGCATTTTGTGAAAAATTATCCTTTTTGTCAAGATTTTTTTTCCGCTTCTTCTTGTGGGTGTTGTTCTCCAAAAATCCTGTTTCTTTTGTACAGTTTTTCGGGGGACCTCTTTAGTCCCTTTGCAAGGCTCAATCTTCATCAAAATTGCCTCACGCAAAGACCCTATAACAAAGATGAGCCCCAAAGCATGACATCATGGTGATGTCATCAGCTGATTTTTTAATAGCATTTTTAAATATTCAATTTTTCCCATAGGTTTAAACACATTTTTCAACAGCCAGTCTTCGACCCTCTGGCCAAACGGACTGATTCCATATTTGGGCACACTCGTGGTCCATTATGTAGAGAGGGTCTTAGGACACAGTCGTCATGATGACATCACCAGGGGTCACATGACATGAGTTTAAAGCTGCAGTTTTTCTCCATAGGTTTTGTACAAGTTTTTGTACTAAACACTATTGATTCTGATGAGTGAGCAGTCCTTAACATTGGCCAAAGATTACTATGCGAGGGAAAAAGAATCGTATATTTTACGCTCCGTTATTCAATTTGAAATATACCCAAGAGTCAGAATATCAAGTAATATTTCATAAAAAATATCAGTTTAAATGCAAATCATGCGACTTACATTTAAAGGTGCAGTTTTTCTACATAGCGTTTTTAGCCCATGACTTTGTACATGTTTTTAAGGCACCATTTTCATAATTTAGCAATCTTCAATTGCCATTAAAATTATAATCAACAAAAACACTGATACAAACATTACCCCAATTGTATGACGTCACGATGACATTATTGCCTAATTTTTTTTTCCATTTTTGAATATTTTATTTTTCCCCTTGGGTTTTGTACGTTTTTGGAGCCCACCAGGTAGACGGGGTCAAAGAACAAAACTGTCATAATGACATCATCGGGTGTCACATGACTTGGCATTAAAAGTGCAAGCTTCAAAGCCTTATATCTCCTGCCCCCATATCCTGTCGGATTGAAAGTTTGCACATATTTAGAAAGGGATGTGGTATAGACAAAAATGACACCATGCGATGATGACGTCATCAGTTGACTAGTCACGTGACATTAAAGGTGCACTACTTAAGGCCTTCTTTCTCCTGAAATATATTTTTCATTGAGTTAAAACCTTGCAGGTATCTAGACAGGGAAGTGTTATAGACAGAAATTGACCTGATCTGTGATGATGTCATCATTTGATAAGTCACATTAAAGGTACATCCTTTTAAAGCCTTATATCTCCTGAAATATATGTCTCACTGAGGTAAAACTTTGCTGATAGCTAGAAGGGAAGCATCATCATACACGAAAATTGACATAATGTGACAATGACGTCATCAGTTGAAAGTCATGTGATATTAAAGGTGCATCCTTTAAATCACTATATCTCCAGAATTACATGTCTGATTCAGTCGAAAAATTGCAGATAACATGCAAACGTGGAAAGACATTCATTGTTGCTTATAGATGTGAAGAAGCCCTATGTTCTGTTGCAAACAGAGATAGAAGCTCTCGTTGATGTTTGTGTTTTTTAGGACTAGGGCACTCCAGATTCTAGATTCTAGATTTTAACAATGTCATGAACGTGCAAATGTATCAATTTGAAGTGCACTTGTTTTCTGGGACAAATGAGCAAAATGGCCAAAATTTGGGGAATGCAACCATGGCAACAATGGACTATCTCCAGCACACAAACACCAACATCCAGGACATTTAACACATTGAAAAAGAAACGGTTGATCATTACAAGGGTAACCGAGCTGGAATTTGAATGGCTACAGTGCCAGCAGTCACATCACATGCAAGTGCAAGACACTGGCTAACAACTGACAAGTTCAACTGATCTCGATATTCCTCCAAGGGACTTTGACGGACCCAAACATGAATTTCAATTGAGCGTCCCAAATGACCTTTCAGTTCATTTTGCTGATTAGCGGCCTTACTTTGATATTTTTGTTACTTTCCAATACTGTTGAAATTTTCCAACTGCCGCAACAAACTGGTTACCACTTTTAAAACATCTGGCAAATTGGCTTGTTGCAAAGCGACATTGATATGTTTCACACATCAAATGAAGTAAAAGGAGATTGGAAGGAGATTCCATTTTTATCTTCTCATCCCTTGGTGCTGTCTATTAACCTGCGGCTGTCCACCTCCCCCCCAAACAAAAGTTAATCTACAACTGATTGAACCCTCGTACAAATAAATCAATCAACCAAAATTGCAGCCTTCGGCACCTCAATTCTACACTGCTGTTCACTTTCATTTGCAAAAATAATTCCAGGGTTAAAAGTAAGAAGAATTTTAACAAACAGAGTGTGCATCTCCAGCCATCGCAATCAAGCAAAGGCCAGCACAAGTAAATAGCAGGCATGCGCGTTTGCAACCCAACGGTGCACACAAATGTAATGCTCTTCAGCCTTGTCCACCTGGACATTTGCAGACACCTACGGGAGGCACATTTCATACGCCCACGCGGTGAGGGTCGGGCATTTCACTGCATTTAATAGGAGCAAAAAAGCACGAGTGGATAAGAACCCTGGTTTGGCTAGAGCCACAGAGCTGTGTACGCTGCACACTTAGCATACCAGCATCTCTGCAAACCCATCCTTCTAACGGCGCTGTCATCTCATTTTTCAGAACACAGCAATGTACATGTACAGTGCCTTGGACTGGCTACATATATTTTTCTAACAGCCTAAATTTTTTTAACAACCTATTAAGACATACATGTATGCACATACTGTGTGAGAGGGCCAAACAGCAGTGTTTTTGGTTACCTATGAAAGCAGGGCAGAACCGGTTTGTACCTCTCAGAGTCGCTGTACCAGGCTCTGCCTGTGCCAGCAGGTTAATTTATGACAGACTGTAAACAAGCAGTTAGACCTTCAACCACAATTAGCCAACTCCGCCTCGGGCCGGGCTTTTCATGCAAAGAAGTGCTTATGGGAGAACACCTGTCTTTCAAGAGCCGTTAATGAGCATTCTCCTTGTCGTAGTTATGCTTGGCTAATTTCAGATCAACAAACCAGTATCACTTCCTTCAGAAATTCAAAGCCAAATACACAGGAATGTAATACCGAGTGAATAACAGGCATTAATTGGTGTATAAAACCCTCCATTATTTCCACACTATTTTTTTTTTCTTTGATAAAGATGCTGCCATTGTGCCATTTACATTTGACAGTTCCCTCAAACCCCTTCCGCCCTCAGTCAATCAAGCAGATGTGAAATTGAGAATTCAGAATATGGGAATTATACAAAACCTGAGAGAAATAAAATTTGTAGAATACTGCAGAAGTGCCAGATGGGTGTCTCCAATTTGTTGAAGTTCAGACAAGCCTTTCTAAAACAATGATGGGCTAAACCCACTCTAAACGAGTGAGAATGTTACAGTGGTCAGTGAACCATCCATTAACTCTGTGTCATTTTCTCTCCGCAAAAAAAATTTCCAACAGTCTGAATATTTAAATACTGAGATGCACTACTGTGACGTGAGCAATGAAACATGTTTGCAACCTTTCTGAAGTTAAAACTCCAACAAAGGACACCTGATGAGACAAAAGATTTCACCTCAGGAGTCGTGAGCAAGTTGAAAGCAACCATCGTCAAAAACTCTTTGGCTATAATTGACTTCAGTCCACTTAATTTAAAGAGGAAATAATAACAGCCCATCTCTAATGACAATATACAAGTTAAATGAAACATCAACGATCTCGATATCGGGAATGAAACTGAAAACAATGGAAGGTGATCAGATCACGGACGACGTGAATCTTTCGTTTTGAGTTGTTACGTTAATCTTGCTTTGCAATTATATGCATCATGTACAGGAGCAGAACTGTGTCTGTGACTGACATCTGATCTTATCCTCCGCTGAAGTTCACTGCCTCCTCTGCTGGCTGGACCGTTGAAAGGGATGCTCTTCCCCCTAACATTGATTCTAATGGACTTCAAGGAGCAACTTTTAGTCAAAATATCATTATCGCAATTTTTATATCAGTCTTACTGAAAGGTGTTTTATCATTAATGGATATGTAACAATAAATTAATCAAACTGCGAGTACGCACCGGCCCACACAAACCACAGACTGCATCTGGGCTTTGCAGGTACTGTCATTAAAGAACATCATTTCATTCCAAGAAAATGCCCAAGAGGACTGGGTGGGGAAAAGTATTCACATGGGGAATGGACGTCACAAGACGAGGCTTTGCATATTACCCCACAAAGAGTGATATTGATACTGACATAAATCAGAGGCATAACGTCAATGTTTCGGTCTGCACGCTCTGTTCGATCATCTCCTGACGGCACTTCATCAAGACAAACTTTGCCAAAACTGGCTTGACAAACACAGTGTCTCTGAGCATGGGACTACTACAGAAATCCAAAGTAAGCCCCCAAAACACAAAGCGACTTGAAAGTCGTCAGAGCCACTGTTGAGATAAATGGCATTGCAAAAATGATGCATGGGGTAAGTCAACAGGAATCCCCAACATCTGCATGATGTCTTTGTTTATCAGGAGTCCCAACTAAATGACAACTCAAAACGAATAGCCAAGTTTGCAAACTAAAAGCCAAATTAATCAGAAAGTGGTCTTGTGACTGTCTTTGTAGGATATGGGTCCAATTTCATGGAGCTGCTTCACAGTTACTGGAACAGTCGTGCTTGCTATAGCAGAAAAATTTGATAACAAGCAATATTTCATGAAGTGTTTGGTTGTTTGGCCTGGTTGAATTTATGGCTGCGCGAGCATCAAGATTTCCATTGATTTGTCAGCCTTTTGCTGTGCTTACTGCTCACCATCTCCATGAAATACACGGAACCTCGCTTAGCGTAAAAAGCGTGCCTAGCGACATTGCGAAATTGGGCCCTGGCCAAAAGACTGACCTTCTGTTTTGCAGCATGCTCAGCCACCATGTCGCTGAAGTCCTCTTTCTCCAGTTGGTTCTGCTGCTCGCGGACCTGCTGCTCATACCTGAAAGAATACCACAGTGGTCCCAATCAGACAGCTCATTCAAAGAAGATTCAAAAGCTTCCATAGTTCCTGCTTGTTGTGGGTAGGCAGAATGGAGCTTCCTCTCCCACCAGTCTCAAAGGGCTAAAAACTGCCATGAGACAGTGCATTTCAGTTAGAAAACCTCAGTGTTGGTGCAAAAAAGAACTCAAATAACCAGATCAAAACTGCCAGGGTAAGGGCCAACTTACATCAATCACTATAATCAATCATAACACCCCATCCACAGATACTGTATCTTGATTGGCCAAAAGCCAGTCACGTGGCATTTGCTACTTTTGCTGTCTTGCTTTTCAAGGCCAAGGACCTACAAATACATGTACGAGTACACCCATGGCAACCAAAGTACTATACCCACAGCAACCAAAGTACTATACCCACAGCAACCAAAGTACTATACCCATAGCAACCAAAGTACTATACCAGTAGCAACTAAAGAACTAGATACAAATACTACAGTCAGTGCAAAAGTTTAAGCCCACCTGGAATCTTATGGGCCAGCATTCCCTTGTCTCATCTGATGATTACGTAACATATTTACTATAGGGGTCCATAACATGAAAGTAGTGCTATTAGCCCATTTGAATGAAAGTTTTTGCCAAGACAGGTCTTGTATGGCAAGTTGTCTTTACTGCAGCATGTGTCAAAAAGCCAGTCTTAGTCAGGTTCAAAGGGCCTAAATGGTGACCCTCCATCAAGAGGGCTACTCTGAACGTCAAATTAGCAAGAGGGCTGGATGCAGGAAGACTGCAATGAACACTGCCATTTCAAAATTTCAAAAGGATGGCTCATTTTCGGACCAGAGAAGGCACGGTCATTCAAGAAGAACTACCCCTCGTGAAGACCATGTGATCCCGAAAATTGTTGTGAAGGATCCCTTGAGCTCTTGTCGATAGATCAAAGCAGCTTTGCAGTCCACTGGGACAAATGCTGGTGTAAGCACCATTTCTCGCCATTGGAGCAAAGAATTTCAGCTCCATTAACACCAACCTGCCGGCAATCTCCTTCTCATAGATTTATTTGTTAAAGTCTTGATTTTCCTTCGAGTTACTACATTTTGTATGGGTGGTCTTAAACTTTACAAATGACTGTATATAAGAACTGTATACGAATACTAAAGTGATGGGATTTCAAGCTATTCATGGTGACAGACAACTAAGGTGGAATGCTTGCGGTAGCACCACGCAAGGACCTTGCATGGTGCTAACACAAGCTTTCCTCCTTAATACTAAAGTGTGTACACACTATGATTTACGCCCATTTAGAAGTGCTAGCACTTCAGAGCTGGGTTCAAACATTTCATGAAGAGGTTGTTTGGAAAAGGTACTGGTATATTCTCAAATACATATCTTATTCAAATATACGATCTTTTTATATGTATAGAGATCAAATTCCTCCGTTATCGCTTAACTTTAGCAGAATTTGTGCAAGAAGTGTTACAGAGCAAATATTGACTGCTTTATCTCTTGATGTATGGTACTGGTCAGAATTTTAGCCGACACGCAAACACGCTTAGCGTGTTAGCATGTATCGAGTCAAAAAGACACGAAAGGAGTTGACTGCAAACACAAAACACGCTGACCCTGCATAACAGAGAACGCTGACACTGCAATCCCATCTGCCGAGTATAAACTTGCACACACTACATGCAAACCCCAGAACAGCCAGGCCTTTATTGACCGGAGTAGTCATTTTCCTAGTTTGCCACAACGAAAAGTATTCATTTTGACTGTAGCTCAAGTTATCTTCAAATTCCACGGAACTGTTGTCAGTAGTTAACCTTGTATGTAGCAGGCCTCACAAAATTATTTTCAAAGATGAAGTGTTTTGTTTGTCCATATGTGAACGATGAAAGTGCAATGCAGGCAACGCTTTTGGTTTATGTCTGAATTGCTCCCAAAACTTCTGAATCACGCACAGAAAATATTCAAGCATGGAATCAATTTTTCAACAGAGACTAGCAGTTTTTATGACAAAACATTTCTTAAATTAGAGAAAACTATTTTGTAAGAAATCCATAAAACATAAACGGGGTTTGACCTCGCCGGTCCGCTAGCCAAAGTTCAAGACGGCCCCCCACAGCCGCGGCGATCCTAGCATACACACTCGAGCTCAGTGTGTTCAAAATCGTGTGAATATAAATTCAATGCGAGGTGGGGATTTTTCCCATCAGTTTTTGACCTTTGAGCTGGAAAACCTACCTAAAAAAAATGCTCTGATTGTGACATTAGGACCAAACTGAACGGCAAAGATTGTACCAAAATGAAAGGAAGTCGGGTCTGCACTAGCGCTAGCGAAGTTCATGCACCTGCTGCACACAACGGACAAAGTTGTGCCCATGTGAACTTCATAAATATGCATATCATGTGAAGTGTAAGGGCTGTAGCTTTGCATTTGTTGGCGCTGTATCGAAATGAATATGCAATACACTTGTTTCGATTTATGACTGGCAGTTGGGATGAAAGCGCTAGGGTGGTTGTAGTTTTGTGATTGCTTGGTCACGGCATGGTCGCGGCACATGTGGCAGCAAATGAAAAAGTCAAGTTGACATTTACGTAAGTTCAGTTGGTGATTTTTATAATTTACTGGAATTCTGATAAATGAACTAAATTTCCATAAAATAAGAAATATTTCATCATAAAATCAGCTTGTTATAATAGTTCTGGCTGAGGAATGGATTTCTTTCGTGATTACTGTTTATTTGTGAAAAAGTTCTCGCGCAATCGGGAATTGCTTCAAACCGATCTAGCATCAGAACCAGCAAAAAAATGTCGTCGTCACTCCAGTCGATCCTGTGAGTTTAAAATTTAAAGCTTACATTTGGGACAAAGTTTTGTAGTAGCTTAACACACACGGTGGACTACTGGCCAGTTAATCACTGAAATTTGACATTTTCCAGATGTAATCCGACTGAACAACTTTCGCGATCCAAAACAAAAAGAAAACGGCTGTGATAGTGATACATATTTCGATACTTCAAGACGGTCATCTTGCCAGCCAGGCGCTACACATACATGTAAGTGATTTCACGTATTCAGTGCACTGCCATACAGTATACATGTACATTGTTCCCAAAGTGAACCCAAGGAAAAGTAGAATGCTTCACGAATAACCGACGGAGGCATGTTGTACTACATCACTGACCACTCCAAGCAGTCAATATTTGTACACTATAATTCAACCAATGTCACTCTTGATGAATAGATGATTGGACTATCTAGTTGGCAATTTGGAATGAGGCCCTGCGCATGGTTTACTTTTCCTTTTTCAGCATTCATCTCTCATTATCAACAGCCTCTTCCGTTCAAGTAATTGCCAAACGATAAACAACACAATAAATTGGGTGAAATGGTAAAGACCAACAGCAAATGTGAGCAACGGTAGGATTTCACAAACTGGTTCAACTGGGGTCAAGTTTACAGTACATGCCCCATGGGTAAGAAGCAACTGACCAGCACTTAACTACCATCATCACTCCCAACACGCCAAAAGCCGTGACAGAAATATCAGTGCTTCACATGCTGGTGTACCAGCAAAAGGCTGTCACTGATACACACTGTGATGTCTCCTGGTTAAACGTCAACATTCACGTGTCAAAAGGTATTCCTTTCGAACAAGGACTTAGAAACCGACACACTGGTCTCTTGCATATAATTTCAGATGAGTTTTTTTCCCTCTAGAATGTGTAAAGTTTACTTGAAAATGCTTGCAATGAAATTTTCTGTGAAGCGTCATGGAAAATTGTCAACATACACGTGCCAAAAGGAACTCCTACCAAAGGACTAAGAAAATTTAACATTTCTCTGCTGTATATGATTCAGATGGACTTTTTTCTCTAAAACGTGGGAAGTTTATCTGAAAATGCTTACAATAAGATTCATGTGCCCACTATTATGCACTGAAATTGAAAATGTCAAGTGTAAGTTGGTAAGCAGTCGGTTTCAGGCAAATGCTTGGTGCTAAGGTTGACTTACTTGGCTGCCATGGCTGCCGTGTCCAAGTCCAGCTCGCTAGGATCCAGGGTAATAGCCACGCCCTCACCGGCCCCTCCTACCTTCTTGGCCTGCGTGACGGACAAAGGTGGGGTACAGGTAATAGCAATCACACTCCACAAAAAAAAAAAAACACGGGTGGCGTTACGACGCATTGTACAGGTTGCACTAATGGACTGTTTCACTGTTTACACCATGAGAAAGACTGGACGGTGGAATCTGAAAATTCAACCCAGACAGCCTCAAATCCTCCAATTTGGGAACAAAAGTCAATTGCAACTGTTACAGATGTTCACCAACTACCGCTCAATCAACACAAAAAGTGACAGACCTTGTTCAAAATGCCGTATTTGTGGGACAGAGCTTTTGTTTCGGACTAGTTTTAGTTGTTACGCAATTGAAATAAAGAAAAAGGCTGGTGAAGAGGGCTCTGAAGACTGGAGGTCTACGGTCTGCTTGGAAGAAATGGCACACTGAAAATTCTGGAACACAAATCCCTTACAAAGGGCACAGATGGCCATGAGAGAAAGTATGCGTTAACCTAATACGAGGGCATTTTCAACAAATACTCAAAGTAATTTGGTTTAAACAATGGAGTGTGCCCAAAAGCTCCTGAAGTGGTTTCACCCCACAGTGACGAGCAAGAACGCATTAGGCAACTCACTGCTGCAGTATCGTAGACATGGGCAGATCCCATCATGGCCCCGCCCACAGTGGCCCGTTTCTCCGGGAGGATAGTGTAGAGGGCGGGCGTCTCTCCACCTTGATCCATGGCATCCTCGATCTTCTTCTTGCGGAGCTCGATCATTTCCGGCGTCTCCATGCCGGTCGGGATCGAAGTCAGGCCACTGGGGGTAATCAGGCCGCTGGAATTGAAAAACCACAAAGACCATGTTTTGGTCAGATTGACAAGAAGTTTATTCACACTCATAAAGCAGAACAGAAAAAAAAGATCTGATGGCAAACCAATACTATTCGACAGACTAACAAACAAAGTTAAGCAGTGAATAAACCTGACAGGATACCAGCTATCAGTCATCACTGTTGTCAAATGGCAAATATCTACGAAAGGACGTGATCCTGAGCAACAGGCAAAGAAACTGTACTTAGCTCAGCATTAAAAAGGGACTGCAAAAATGTGAATTTTGTTCAAACTTGGACTCCTGTTTGCCAGCTGAAATACCAAGTAAGGATTTCCAGCAGGACAATTTCTTCTTACCCATCTGCTGGCGTGATCAGGCCTGTCTCGTCCACTTCTCTCTCCTCTTCCTCCTCTTCGCTTTCCTCCTCCGAGGAAGACTCTTCCGACTCGCTCTCCAACTCGCCCCACCGGGTGCGATCCACCTCTTCCTCCTCTTCCTCCTCCTACAAAAAAGGAAATAAATCAAGATACTCTTCTTCAAGACAAAATCACAGTTCAGTAGAGCTGCCGTTCATGCTTGATGTGGACCTGAATGCTAATGGACTTGGACGTCTAAAAGTATCTCAGCAGGAAATTTGCTGAATTTTTCTTTTTACTGGGCACTGGCTGACTGCCAATAGTGTTCAAATAAAAAGACAAGGGAAATCATAGGCTGTGGGTGTGTGAAGATGGTAGGATGTTGATCAGCTGAACATGTGTACCAAGGCATACTGTAACTGAGGCCCATTCCCGAGTTGTTCTTCCAGTCCATTGCAAGTCCCTGTAAGTCCATCACAAGTCATTCAGTCTTACGCCAGTTCACAAGCTATTCAAATGAACTGACAAAAGCATTCTTTTGTCATTGTTCACCCTGTTACTTATGACTGGCCTTGTAAAGGGACTCGTGACTGGACTTGTGAAGGGACTCGTGACTGGACTTGTGAAGGGACTCAAATACAACACTGCCAATACATCAAAAGTTTGCAGTGCATTGGCCAATCACAATGCGTTGCAAACTCTTGATGGTGAACTACTGTGAATCACCCATATTCCAATAGAAAAAATGATCCTTAACTTCTACAGTAATTCTCCATTCATGATTCCAAGAAACTGCTTCATGTTACGGCAGTTACCAGCATATTTCAATCTTCTACATGTATCTACTTCAAAAAGTTTAACACTGGTTCAGAAGTACTGAGGCACTGTAACAGCCAAATCTATCACAAGTCAAATCTTGAGTCATAACTCAATGCAAAAGCCCAACTACATGTAACTCTCTGTGTCAAAGTTCATTTGCAGGGGTGAGACCGGACCATAACGAAAAATCCATGAACTTTGTTGGTATTATCTGTACATGTACACATGTACAATGTACACATGTATGTACATGTACCTGTACAAACATGTAGGCCTGCTTGTACGTACATAAACATATTATTGGTAGGCCTAAATGGCACGCAGGCTTTGTCATGTTCGCTGCATTAACTCGTGCACATATGCACATTACATGTACATGCACAAGGTACATGACGTGTATATGTATCCCAAGCTACATGTATGCATGATATTAAATATGTACATGTACGTCATTACTAAGGAGTTCGATGATACAACTGAAAGCATTGTCGTGTCATGTGATTGATTATATCTAAAAGCCTGAAGCTACATTTGTAAAATGTGAGAGAGGTAAGGAACCCCAAGCAGTCTGGCACCGCCCATTTGTTAACAGATTTCAGAGAATAGGATTTTGGGAACACAATCAAACATGGCTTCCCGGCAAATAAGTCTGTTGTGAGGGCGGTCTGTGGTCAACCAATACTGCTTCCATAACACAATCTTTGCTGGATGTTATCACAATTTTCCCATTGTTTTCAATGTTCTTGAAAGTTACCAATGGACGTACAAAGCCGTGACGTTCCACTCCAAGTTTTAATTTACCTTGAAGTCCGCCGCATTGGTCCCAAAAACGTCTCCATAGAGAGGCTTGCCTGTTTCATCTACAGGAGGCTTACCCCAGCCACCAGCATGGTAGCCAAACGAACAGCCCTGGAACAAAACAGGTAGTTAAAATAAAATCATTTCCGGGTGTTTATCTTGAATTACACTGCAAATTGTCCCAACAGATTCACAGGCATCAAGAGGGATGGAATATAATGTTGGGGATTTTGCATAAATGTATAAAAGGCACTTTGTTCTACGAAAGGAATGCAAAAAGTACTGTTGCACCGAAGACCTGAACTTACAACCCAAAAAAACCTCTAGCTATCAACACTGAGTAATTATGGTCGAGAACATATCAGTTGCAAATAAAGTCCACTCAAGAGAACAGAATAAAACTAAAGCAAAGTGAGAAGCCTGCCGAATCAACAAAATATGACAGCAATGTGAGAGGTCTACCAAATCAACAAAACATGATAGCACCGTGAGACATCTGCCAAATCAACAAAATATGACAGCAACGTAAGAGGGCAGCTGCCGTGTGGATAAACAGTTTCAAAATTTGCTGACTTCTACAAAATTCAATCCAAACGATCAGACCTAGCAACCACTCGTCAATAGAAAGGTGACAAAAACCATAATAGAGGTTAGATGATGTAGATGAAATCATTCTGACATTTGACCGGGCAGTTTGGCAGAGACAACTGTCGAATGTTATCTCCATCTAATTTACTGAGTGAATTCCAGCACCTTGTCTATGAGCCTCAGTCACATCAGTCCTTTTGGTTTAAAGCATGCGACTGCACTCCCACGCCATCACACACCTAAAAGCTTTCCGAGAAGTGCAAATAATTGCACACCTGAAATCATCTGTACCGCACTCCTCGGCATGAGTTTACTTTTTAATTATACTTCGCAATTTTTGAGAAAAATGAAACGAAAAGAATCAAACATTAGGCCTACCTAACAGTAATGACAGAATCATTTTTTTATTCTCCCGCCGAAACAGCTTTGCGTGACAGCTCTGTCAGTGTACAATCATTCAGCACACCCATGTCGCACAGCGCTGCAGCAAGCACTGCCGCATCCATAATGCTACATACACCAGACTGTACATGTACATGGCTTTACGAGCTTGTGCACATCACATGCAGTGCCACGAGATCACACCACTTCTCAGTCAAATTTTTCCAATGAATTCCCTGATTATCCCAAGTATTTCGTGGAGATGTCTGTACTGTAAAGTTGTTCTGATCACAACAACAGCATTATAAGGAAAAAAAACGTCTGGGCTTTTACTCCCATCTGCACAAAACAATTTCCAGAAGTCAACAAGCTTTCATGATGCAGGCTCCCACGCCCTATGCGTAGTAAACCAACAAAGTCCTTTGAAGTTGAGATTGGGACCAGACCAGTCAATCATGATGCACCAAGTACATGTAGTGCGTGAAAGCCATGGATAAATCATGCCAGCGTGGATCGCAGCAGATCTTTGTGTGCAGACACGTAAACGTCCNGGCATGGTAGCCAAACGAACAGCCCTGGAACAAAACAGGTAGTTAAAATAAAATCATTTCCGGGTGTTTATCTTGAATTACACTGCAAATTGTCCCAACAGATTCACAGGCATCAAGAGGGATGGAATATAATGTTGGGGATTTAGCATAAATGTATAAAAGGCACTTTGCTCTACAAAAGGAATGCAAAAAGTACTGTTGCACCAAAGACCTGAACTTACAACTCAAAAAAACCTCTAGCTATCAACACTGAGTAATTATGGTCAAGAACATATCAGTTGCAAATAAAGTCCACTCAAGAGAACAGAATCAAACTAAAGCGAAGTGAGAAGCCTGCCAAATCAACAAAATATGACAGCAATGTGAGAGGTCTACCAAATCAACAAAACATGATAGCACCGTGAGAGGTCTGCCAAATTAACAAAATATGACAGCAACGTGAGAGGTCTGCCAAATCAACAAAATATGACAGCAACGTGAGAGGTCTGCCAAATCAACAAAATATGACAGCAACGTGAGAGGTCTGCCAAATCAACAAAATATGACAGCAACGTGAGAGGTCTGCCAAATCAACAAAATATGACAGCAACGTGAGAGGTCTGCTGCTGTGTGGACAAACAACAAAATTCAATCCAAACGATCAGACCTAGCAACCACTCGTCAAAAGAAAGGTGACAAAAACCATACTAGGGGTTAAACGATGTAGATGAAATCATTCTGACGTTTGACCGGGCAGTTTGGCAAAGACAACTGTCGAATGTTATCTCCATCTAATTTACTGAGTGAATTCCAGCACCTTGTCTATGAGCCTCAGTCACATCAGTCCTTTTGGTTTAAAGCATGCAACTGCACCCCAATGCCATCACACACCTAAAAACCTCCCGAGAAGTGCAAATAATTGCATGCCTGAAATCATCCGTACCGCACTCCTCGGCATGAGTTTACTTTTTAATTATACTTCGCAATTTTTGAGAAAAATTAAATGAAGAGAATCAAACATTAAGCCTACCTAACAGTAATGACAGAGTCATTTTTTTATTCTCCCGCCGAAACAGCTTTGCTTGACAGCTCTGTCAGTTTACAATCATTCAGCACACCCATGTCGCACAGCGCTGCAGCAAGCACTGCCGCATCCATAATGCTACATACACCAGACTGTACATGTACATGGCTTTACGAGATTGTACACGTCACACGCAGTGCCACGAGATCACACCACTTCTCAGTCAAATTTTTCCAATGAATTCCCTGATTATCCCAAGTATTTTGTGGAGATGTCTGTCCCGTAAGTTGTTCCGATCACAACAACGGTATTTTTTGGAAAAAAACCCTGGGCTTTTACTCTCATCTGCACAAAACGATCTCCAGAAGTCGACAAGCTTTCATGATGCAGGCTCCCGTGCTCTACGCGTCCTGAACCAACGAATTCCTTTGAAGTTGAGATTGGGACCAGACCAGTCAATCATGATGCACCAAGTACATGTAGTGCGTGAAAGCCATGGATAAATCATGCCAGCGTGGATCGCAGCAGATCTTTGTATGCAGACACCTAAACGTCCTGATGTTTCCCGATAAAATTTTTTAGTGATACGAACAGAAATAACTCACAGGAAAGAGATTTGCTATAAAGAAACCTCAGGAAAATCGGGAGATTTATTAGAAAAATTTAATGGAGAATATTAGAGTGATCTTGTGGCTCAGTCAGAGCAGCTCTGCACGGTCCGTTGAGGCCGCTATTATGGAAAGGGCATCATTGTATGACCGTCAGAAACCTTTGATTCTTTTTATTAGACATCTGGTATCTCTTCAAGTTTACTGGAAGTGAGCGGGCGTGATCTGAAACTGTTGCACTATTTTTTGTTGGTTTTGTTGATTGTTTATATGTAACGTTGACCCAATTTTTATCTTTGTATTTTACTCTGTCTTGATTGACCCAAGGTTTTGATTGATTGTTCAGAATCACACTCCTAAAAAACTGCACACCGGGAAATGTCCAGGAGTGGGTTTTTTGCACGCCTGCAATTTCCGAATCACAAGGACTGTCACATTGAATTATCTTCCTTAGAAGAGAGGAAGAGTCACTGCGATTTACACCAGCCAAGTCCCAGACTTACCTCAGGGATGGGCGAGTTGAGACCACTGATCTTCAGGTTGGGATAGGAGGGTGGGGGGCCATATCGCTGCATGGCTATCAGCCAAGGGGGCGGGTACTTTTGGGAATTCTGTGAAGGAGAACCAGCGCTGGCATTAACACTTATGATGCTACAAGGCTAAGCCACCACAGTCCATTGTTCACGTGAATATCAGCGTACGGTTGAAGGTATGAAAGACGGCAGCTCAGAGACGGTCGCCACTGCCTACATTGCAGGTTGGATTCTCAATGCCTGACGCAAGCAAACCCTACCATGCTCAAATCACAAGCATGTAGAGAAAAAAAATCCCATAACAAAATTTCAGACCCAAGTTGCGGGTTAACCACGCACTGTGCATCATTTGCAATTGTCATGCCGTGACTTTCACATTGACTGGATTAAGGTCCTCACATATCCAATCATGTCCAGTAGACTGGCGTGTTTTGGTGGGCCAAACTCCCCAATGATGAGAATGTGATTAACCCCAACCCCAATAACAGCCAAAGTTCAAACAATCTCGTGCCAAAGCCTTGCTGCTTCCCTGTTAAGGCTGGCAACCATTTAGACCCGGTTTGAAAAGGGCCCCCCGGTAGCCCGCCCTGTATAATGCCTGCCCGGTATTCAGGCTACTCCAGGCCGGTATCAGGCCTGTCTGCACATTGGCATTTCAAAGTCCCTGATGGAAGGCTTCCCCACCATGCTTCCACAGATGAATAGGGGTCTAAGCAGATTAGTGTAAACATTGTATAGAGCTGAAGGATTAAAAACCACAAGCAGGTTCCTTGCAAACAATAGACCCCAGGATGGAGAAGTTCGAGATCAACGACCAGTCCAGCATCCCAGGCCGGTAGCCAGGCCGGTATGACGGGTTTTTGCAACAGGGCGAGCTTACCGGGGGGGCCCTTTTCAAACCAGGTCTAAATGGTCGCCAGCCTTTAAATGCCTTTGTTCCCAAATTCACTTTCTTCTCCTCCTGACGGCACCACACTGCTCAGTGCTGCAAGGTTTCCACAGGTGTGTAGACCTGTTGCACCTTGCTGCTCTCGGCAAGGGTCGGGTTCAGAAAGATTTTCAGGACAGACAGGTTGTACTCACAGGGCCTATTGGCATGCCCAGTGCTGTCTTGAGCTCATCCGACAGCTCTCCCGGTTTCTTCTCTTTGAGTCTGGTCTCAAACTCCTTACCCTCATAGTACAGATCACCATGGATTGTCATCTTTGGTTTGGTTTGCCATCTAGAAGAGATCAATCGTCAAAACGTTAAATATAAGTAAATATTTCATAACAAAAATAGGCCGCTGTTGCTCTTACAAACTGGAGCAGAACATCTAAACACCATCTATTGGAATGTCAAAATAATACCAAGGCAGAATCTTGGTCAACATTTTCAAATTCAGAGGACTGGAAACGTACTGACGAACTACCAAGTTACTTGCAAAGGTAAAATCTCAAGACACTTACTTGAAGAAGGCGTCATGAAGTTTCTGGTAGTCAATGTCTATCTTGCCCATCTTGGGTCGAACTTTTTGTCTCATCTTGGTCTTCATTGTCTGCTGTTCCTCCTGAAGGTGACGGGAAATTAAATGACACAGACAATCAGGAAAGAATTGTACCAGTGCAGTCCCAGCATATAAATGTGGCACCACACAGAACTCAAAGAATACTGAATTCTTTCAGAGAAGCTCCACTGGGCCCAATTGCAGCATAGTTAAAAATCTATAAAAATGCTAAAATTCAGTGAACAATGAATCTACATTTTTTACAGGAGCAACTGGTGCGAAGGAAACTTCAGACATAAAAGTTATTAAATAATAGCTCTGGAAAGATCGAACAGTTTGTAATCGCTCAATCAGAGTTGTGAATAAACCCACAAGAGCCAGCAGAATGAGACGGCAAACTGATCAACCTCCGGTGAATACGATGTGGTTCAAGATGGCTGCCAGTGAAGTTTTCAACACCCACACTCACACCTACACCAAGAGCAGCAGGGCACAGCTACTACTTGGCTGTTACATCAGGTTGGACTCCCTCCCCCTTTTGGGGGGGTTTTACCTTCTCCTGCAGTGCCTGTCTCATCTCCATGATTCCCGTTCTCATGATGAACTCTGGCAGCTCGAAGGCCGGCTTCTCAATGCCCCTCTTCCCTTGCAGGTACTTCCTCTTAAAGCACCAGTGTCGGGGGACTGGCACTGTATTCCTGTAAGCCTGCAAAAGGAGACCAAGTGTGACCCAACTTAAAACGTGTAACGAACATAACACCAAAAAAAAATGGATTCGTGCAAGCAAGCATGCCCAAGTTTAACAGAATGTAACTGAGAAAAAGAACAGTCAAGAAATGAACCCCCATGGGTAATAGTTTATCTGTGGAGGAACTTTTGTAACCTCAAAAAGGACCATGAATTATGTTGCCTCTTGGTGTTACGCATACATGTTTGCGAGTTATCTTCCTCAACCCTAAGAGCCCTAAATACTCTTGAACTTCCATGGAATTTTTCCACATACCCTTGCCTCAGAGAACAGGGTTTATCTTCCAAACTCTACTGCAGTGACACATCCTTTGCACTTAAAGGTTTCAGGGGCGCCAAGGTCGGAATGAGCCTTCCTCGCACATGCATGATCCTACCAATTGTCCTTGCAGATTTCAAAGGATCTGCAAGGATTAAACCTAGACCTCACTGCCAGAATATTCAACCGCATTCCTGCGAAAGCCTGGTGTTTCTTGATTTTGTTCCTTGGAAGCATGATCACTGCCTCAACCCTTCAAAATCCCCCTAAGGAATTCCTGTCAATATGTTGAGGCAGTGCGAATGGAATCCCAGAACGGTGAGGACGATTCAGGTACATGTATAATCCAAGCCTGCACGAATGTACAACTAGAAAATCACGCGGAACCTATATCTTTTTATTCGACAAATCAATAAAATATGAAAACTTGTGATGCCCTGCCCCGAGCCTAATTTTGTGTACATCGTCCTGTACATTGTATTGTTTCAATTTTTTTTGGCATGAGATGGACGGCTCTTGTGTGTTTGTATTTCAACAACCAGCTGTTTTACGACTCAGTCACAGTGCTGAAATGTAATATTGACGTGCATATGTACAGTATTAATCTGACACTGACTTGGTATCTGTTACAAATATATACGCTACTCGCTCCCCGCCAAACAAAATACAGACCATCATCCGACCCTGATTTTTTGAGCTATAAAAATTTAGAGTAAAAAAAATTACTATTATTTTACCCAACCAACAACCCTAATTTATTTTTTCAGTGTAATAGGATTACACTGCTTTTTGGCCTTAGCACAAACTGAACAAGGACCTTGACGCAATGCATCCTCCAAAGCCTTGATCCATCAAAATCCTTCACTTCTGCAAAGGAAGATTTGAGATTATTAGGGTTACGGGCATTCTTGCACAGCAACACTGAGTGGGAATCCTTCTCCAAGGGAAGCAAGCACAGATACCTTGAGGTAGACCAGTAGTTTGGGATCTCTAGCTGTGACGTCATGCATCTCTACCACGTCGGGTCTGTGCACAAGCTGTTTCAGCTCGGCGACGCTCAAGCGATTCAGCTTGCGCATCTTCTTCTTGGACAACTTGGGAGTAGCGTCTTCCTTCTACGGGGAAAAGAAACCAATGAATCACATACATTCATGTCAGGGATAAAAAAAAAATAACTCTTCGGTGAAAACATTTTTCCAGCGATTTCTCTCCCCTAACAGCTTGCCCTGGAAGTGGAAGTGGGATAATCTGTGACACTGCGAGATGGCCGGGGGAAAAAAACGAAAAACGTACACGTATAGAAAATTGCCTTGATTAAGCTTTGCAAACAATTCGAACCACAAACCCTGCATGAGCAAACATGGGAGTAAAAATAGCAGCTATGAGAGACTACAATCTCTTAGCGCGATAGGCTTAGGCAGTGATGGCGTCACAATACATTTACAGGTGTGCTTTCTTATGGGAGTTAGGAGGGGTCTACAAGTTGCACGTGTACACGTAAACAAAGCACAACACTAGATCACAGCACTGTTGGAAATGTTGGGCCGCAAGTGGAGTACGGCATCTTTGACAAGTGAAAATATCTGACTCTACCTTCTCATCGTCCGAGTCGGAATCTGATTTTTCATCATCTGACATCCTCTTCTTGGGTTCTTCTTTCTTCTTTTCTGGGGGCTTCTCTACTTTGGGTTCCTTAATGGCTGCCTCAGGCTTGGCGGGTTCAGACAGCTAGACAAAACATGTAAGCATACCATTAGGCCATGACATCATTGAAACAAAAAAGAGAGAGAGCAGCAGAGTCTAACCTCCACTCGCTTTTCCCCCATTATGATCAACAGGCATGTGTTTTGTTGGTGCCAAGCCTTCACTACACATGCTATACAAGTCAACCGATGCATCGACCACTTTCTGGTAACAATTTGGACTTATTTCATTGAGTGTACATGGGAAGAAGTACTGACGGTGGCCTGAAATACTATAAATGACCAATTCTTGGGTCTTATCCACTTCTCATTCATTATTTATGAATGTTAATGATGCTAAAACGGGAAAATTTTCTTTTGTTTTCTGTTTTCCAAATTCTTTAAACATTCGTATTTTCGTTTACTGGACACTTACACCCACAAGAAGGACTGTCTGGTTTTTACTCTGATCTGACAGACAACATCTATTGACGCTGGACCAGGCCTGCTGCCTTGTAAAAAGCGTCCAGATTGTGCGGTGTTACGTAATCTTTTGTTCAAGAACCTGGCACAGTGCACTGCTGACCTCTTTTCTATAGGGGCCAGATTAGCGTGCAGCGGTACTGTGTGGCTCATCGCTGCAGTGGTGGAGCGGTTTTTGTCCCCGGTGGTAATCCGCTTGCACTAAATCCCCAAAACTGTTGTATACTGTTTCAAAGCAAGGCTGGATTATCTCCACTTTTGAGAGTGAAAAAATGTTGGTACTGCCCAGCAGCCTAGTCTTTTGTACGAGTACGGTCTTTTGTTACAAGGCCCAGTTCCCTTTGTCCAATTTTGGAGACCCCAGCCAGGTTCTAGTACCAGCAACCCCAGCGGCAAGAGGTTATTGGAGAAAAACTTGGCAAGAGATTTCAACAAATTGGACCACCCGTGCTCAGTGCGTCCCACGGCAAATGCACATGAACCTCTCACACACGCTGGGTTTTCCCATCAAAGGGCCGTCACCCTCATGAATAAATAACGCCTTCTCTTGAGAGACCTTGGACCTGTTCGAAATCCTCCCAAATTATCTGACGTTCAGGAGACGCTCGCTCTTCCAAGAGACATCCTGTGTCCTGTGTTGTATTAACAGTGGCTAGGCTCTACCCTGCTCAATCCTGCAATGAAGGCTTGGAATATCATACCTTGAAAGCCTCAAAGATCCTGCTGAACTGCCTGGCGGCTGGGTCAGTCAAGTCCATGGTCTCGGCAACATACTCCACCTCAACCCCAAGGTCACTGTCACCCTCTTGGTCGGCCGATTGGCCCTCCTGAGCCTGCACCATCTGCTCCATCTTCTTGGCTGCCTTACGGCGCTGCTTCTTCTTCTTGCGCCTCTGGTTTTTGGTCTGACATAAGAGGAAACAAAAATGGTGAAGATTGTGGATAACGATCTGAAAGTGTGCTGAACGTGGATGTACCTGAAGCTTTACCCCCACTAGCCACAGTATATCGCCGAGCACAGTGCCGCATCATAACCAGTTCAGCGGCAAATCACCATATCATGCAGCAATTTTAAACGCAGGAAGGAATCAGGTTGACGGAGTGTCCAGGCTCAATTACCAGCTCGGTTCACATGTGGATTGGGTTTTCAGTCCCTACCTGATTTCATGGGTTTCACCTAGAACATTCTTCTGGGGTTTTCCTCCCACCAGTCAAACTGTAACCTTTTCTCACTGTCTCCTCTCTGCAGCTTTCTTCCGGCAACGACCTACAGTGCCTAGGTGGGCACTTTTGAGGAATCTTTGGTTTCATTACCAGAAAGACTTAATAATAATGGGCCACAGTGCAGAGTGGGAGGTCAGAGTACAGCACAAGCAGACAAGTTTGAACCGTGTAGGCATGCGACTGGGAATGAGAAATGAGGGAATTCCCAGTTGCACATGATTTTGAGAGCATGCTTATTCTTGATTTGTAACGGCATACACAAGAAGTTAAAAGAGGAAATCAGCTCACGGGAGGAAAGCTGCAGGCCCAAACTGTTCAAGGTTTCATTCATTTAAAAAAAAAAAAACAATGAAAACCCAAATCATTCATACTCAACAATGAAAAAAATCGGCAACTTTTAGCCAAAACATTCAAGCTAATGACATGAGCTTGTATCTTAACACAAAATGAGTATGCCGTATTTTGCTACATTTCGACGACTAAAACTTTGCACTTCTTGCTATCTCAGCCCAGGTACCGACAATTAGTGTTTTCTGGGAAAATTAATGTACCGGTATCCCTTGACGTCAACTTGTTCTGTAAAAACTGCTCTTCCATTAACTGCCCAAGAATAGCACTGAGAGAGAGAGAGAACGAATGACCGCAGCGCACTGAGAAATGCCAGGCTGTTCCACTGATAACCGAGTAAGCATTCTCCACATTGCTCCCGTTTGGAGTCTACAGTAAACAGCTTTCCTTCCATCCTTAGAAGTATCCTATGGTGCAGACACATTCCAGCTCACTAGCAAAACAGAAAAATGTAATCAACGCGAGAGCAAGAGTGCCAGAGGGAGTGTACAGCCACGTCCTTACCAGTTTGCGCGCCTGCTGAGGTCCTTCAGATGAGGCCTCCTCAAAACCTTCGTCCTCATCCTCTTCTCGTTCGTAGTCGTCGTCCTCAGGAATTGGTTCCTCCTGCTGCTCATGAAATCCAGGTAGGTCTGCGGGTAAAACAAAAGAGCAAGAAGAAATGGGTGCGTTTCACTCATTTGACAGTCGCTCCATTAGTAAGTGACACTGACAGTTCTGTTTCAAATTTTTTTTCTCATGATGGGAGCCAGGCAGTACCAACCGTTACAATATATTGGTCACTGTAACCATGGCAACGGCCGAGTGGGCGTTAAATCAAGTCACAAGACAAGTTACAAGTAATAGGATGGAAGCAAACGAATACTTTTGTCACAGTTCATTTAAGTGGTTTGTGATTGGATCAAGAATGGATGACCTAAGGTGGACTTGCCAGGACTTGCCAGAACTAGCAACGGACGCGTATTTCTCAGAAGTTGAATGAGCTTTAGATAGCCTGTTTGGCAGATTGGCGGCACATGTCCTGAAGATAGTTCAACGGTCAGCTTGAATAGTCCTTACCTTCTTCTTCTGTCACTCCTAGTTCCTGAGCGCGTACATTCTGGAAGGCGAGCACTTTCTCCAAGGCCTGAGGTAGCTCAACATTAGCCTTAAGCATGTCATCATCTTCTTCAAAGAATTGAAGAAAAACAATCAGTTTGAAATGATCTGCAAGCATCGAAGAGCAAGCAGCAAATAAACCTAAAGCCTTTCCTTATTTTTGTGGTTCAACGGGGCCAGCTGCTGGACAGGCATACCACAGCCCAGCAGTCAAGGTGAAAAGAATCCCACCATGAAAGGGTTAAATAGCTTGTGAGTTAACTTAGGATTGACCACCTGTGACTAACTTGCAGTACCTTGTGGTGACTAGCGACTGCTTGATCACACCTCGGGCATTATTTTTGTAGTCCCTCAAAACCTTTTGTAAGCCCTAGGCACAGTGCCTACTTTGCCCCTTCTCCACATACCTTGGTCACTTCCATCATCACGGTCCTCGGGAGTAGGGCTGTCCATGTCTTGGTCTGATACCCCTGGGGGGCGGGGCATCCCACTGGGCCTTGGCATGAAAGGCCGGTCGAGCCCTGGCGGTCCAAGGGGTCCCCGCTGGCCCATCACAGGAGTCGGAAGGAGAGGCGCTGTAGTAACAATCAGGTTCACCAACATTGTAATAAATATTTACAATAATAATAATAACACATAATTTTACAAGGAATAAGTTACAATCGTTACAATGAAAAGCTTAAATGAAAAGCTATCAATTTGAGCAGGAAATTCAGCCTGGGTTGGACACCTGTCTTCATTACATAACGTGGCGTCATCAGGGAGTCCACCTGGGCTGCATGAATTTGTGACAGTTTGGGCCATCTCAGATTGCACACAAGACAACACAAATGTATTTGCATGCCAAAACTCTTTAAAACACCACGTTAACGGTGCTGTTGATACATCCTTTTTTTTGAATTTTAACAAGAAACTTGTGCGTGCATGCACAAGCCAAGAAAACCTTTTTTTGGAGAACCCAACAGGATAAAATGGTGTTTCACCGTGACTTTGAATGCTCTTAGCTGCAACCCAAAATTTGTGTGCTCCTCTTGAATGATTCTCAAATTCAGAAACTGTGGTGCACCCTTCAAAAATGCCAAATAGCCTGGTGTTAATTTCGCGTCCACCATCAATGTGTCAACTATTTGGCCAGGTACTTGCACAGTGAAAGGCCTAGTGAGACACAAGACACCAGGACAGATGGGACTCACGTCTGCTTTGTTCAAGTTGATGTTCCTCTTGCTCCTGTTGGTCATGTGTCTGTTGCTGCCGTAGCATCTCCTGCTGCTGCTGAATCTTCTCCTCCTCTCGCCGCTGCACCTCCATGGCAAGTTGTTGTTGCCGTAGCAACTCTGCCTCCCTNCCCTCTTCTGTTCTTCCAAGCGGATCTGTTGAGAGCAAGAGATTGATTAAATTCGCCAAATGTGTCATCCTGCTGGTCACAAAAATTCTATTGCTTTAAGGTCATTTCTCAGAATCTAACAACCAATCTCGTATTTTTAACCACTTCCTGCCGGGGACCCCGGAATCGAAGACGTGTGGTTTATATGCATGGCCGGGGTCTCCGAACTCGCACAAAGGAAACAGGGTCCTGTAACAAAATACTGTACTCTGAACAAAAGACCAGGCTGCTGGGCATTACCAACATTTTTCACCCTCAAAATTGGTGATAATCCAGCCTTGTTTTGAAACCATATACCGGGGTTTGGGGCATTGAGAGCGAGCGGATTACCACCGGGGACAAAAGTGCTCCACCACCGCAGGGATGAGCCACACAGCACCACTGCATGCTAATCTGGCCCCTATTGAAAAGAGGTCAGCAGTGCACTGAGCCAGGTTCGTGAACAAAAGACAGTTATACAAAACCGCATAATCTGGGCTCTGTTTACAAAGCTGCTCGCCTGGCTGAAATACTCGGGCATCAATGAAGGTCACCTGTCAACTTAGAGTAGCGCCTAAAGATTACTTGGTGCGGCTGTAAACGACCATTAAATGAAATGATGAATTTTTTAAGGATTTTGAAAATGGGAAAAAATGATAGTCATACCGGCCCAGCATCATTAAGTGGAACACAAGAAGAGAACTTAATGCCCTATACCTGTCGCTCCTTTTCGGCCCGCTGTTGTTCTTCCAGCATCTGCTGCTGTTGCAAGACCTTCTGTCTGGTCTCCTCATCCTGGCGCTGCTTCTCTTCCTGCCGCTGCCTGATCCGCTCCTGCTGCTGTTGTAGCAGCCGCTGTTTCTCCTTCTCGATGAGCTCCTGCTGCTGCTGCAGGATTCGCTCTTCCTCTTCCCGCTGCTTGGCGGCCAGTTCAGCCGCAGCCAATCGCTGGGCTTCCACCTCTGCCTGCTGAGCTCTGACTCTTTCCTCTTCCCTTGCTGCTGCCTCTCGCTGCTGCTGCTCTTCCAGCTGGCGCTGGTCGTCCAATTGCAAATGCTCTTGCTGCTGCTGGATTGCCCCCTGCTGCCTAAGCTTCTCTTCTTTCACTTGCAACATCGCTTCTCCCTGTTGTCCATAGCCTTCTTCTTTTATTTGAAGCATGGCCTCTTCTTGCTGGCCGTACTTTTCCTCTTTTATTTGCTTCATAGCCTCTTCCTGTTGTCTCCATTTTTCCTCTTCCATT